GCCTACTGAGAGAGCAGAAAACAGCTCTCACCTGAAGAGTAAATTAGGAAAACACGTTGGAAGTGGATAGGACATACATCATGAAAATCATCAAACTACATCACGAGACAAGCTCTAATTTAGAATCTTGAAGTGAAAAAGGAAAAGTGGAATGCCAAAGAACACATTACATCGAGAACTAGAAGCAAATATGAAAAAGATAAATAAAAACGAGAAAGAACTGGAAAGGATTACCAAGGACAATATTGGATGGAGAATACTAGTGGGTGGTCTGTACTCCTCCACATGTAGTAGCAAGTGTAACTAAGTAAGTATGTAAATAGTAAATTTAAACAAAATTGTTCGAACAATAGTTTTAAGTATTATGTTCTACCAAAACAGAAGTTAAAATATTCGTGAATTATTATTATTATTATCATTATCATTATTATTACTGTTTCAGTTTCCTTTATAAACCTAAATCTAATCATCAAATGAGTATAGTTCCTCTTTTGTTTAACATTGCATCGAAATAGGTTCTCTTTCTTTTTTCCAATATTATATAATTGATTATATATTTTCAACATCGAAATTTTTACCCTGGCTCATTAGTTTTCCACACTTTTGTTAGTTAGTTAGTTAGTGTGTGTGTGTGTGTACATAAATTTCTTTTTCATTTGGGTTATCTCTCATTTCATGCTTTCTCAAATCTATCTCACTATATATACATCTATGTCTGTATGTCAATATAAACATAAAGAGTACAATGTATTAATGTGTGTGTGTATAAATATATATACATATTTATCGATAACTATTCATCAATTCATTGATTTGTTACTCTTCTACTTGCTCCTTAGTAATATGGAACAGTTATAATAATAATAAGAATAACAGTAGTAACTATACTAATAATAAGTAACTCTTTAAATTTCTCTCTCATATGGTTTTGTAATAAGACCAATATTCTAGGAAATCCACATAGACACACACGCACATAAATATCCAAAAATACAAATTAGGCATAATTTTAAATTTGATGAGTAGAAATGGCGTATAGAGACAAGAAATTTGTATTGGTTTATGCCAACCTCGATGTTGACTACATGGATTCACTGCCTACACACACACATATATATATATATGTATATATACCACATAACGACTAAAATGACAAGCATACATATCGAATGTCTACTTCTAAATCTATCGATTAATATGAATACATCTTTTAACTTTCTTGAATGAATTCTTTCTTGTTTTTTTAAAAAATAATCTGTTTGACAGTTCGTTGTTTATTTCTATTTCTGACAAGAATAATCAAACATATAGGAGATAGGATAGAATAATACTAAAAGTAATATTATGTCTAAAGGATGAGTTATCTTATGAAAACTAGATCAAAGAACATGGATACTAATTCTTGAAAAAAATAATTTGATCCAAAAAAAGGGATTTGAATGAATATCAGTAGGTTGTTTTTATTTTTCCTAGATATTTCTATGTGATTGGATAGAAAATGTAAGATACCTTGGTTTTTAGGTTTCATACTCAATGGTATTTGGTAACAAGACGTATTTAAAATCTTGGAGAAAATAATGTTTCATGTGTGATTAGAACGTTGGGTTGTCTACTTTCATAATCTATGATCTTATACGCAAGTTAAGAGTGTCTAAAATAACCTCCTGTTGAAATGAATTATTTCTATAGTGGTTAACCACTAAATAATGATTAATACGATGTTATTCGAATTTTTATTACGATTGTGTTGCAATGTGGTTATTAGTATAATTGACCTGACATCATATGCCCAATATTTTGATGTTAGGCGATTTGAGATAGTCAGTAAAAAACCTTAGACTTAAGTTATATGCTAATGTACTACTTATTTTTTAGATATTACTAAATAAGGTTTGTATGTTGCATATGTAATTAAACCTTCTATTTGCATATGTACTTTGTAAAAAGAGATTGTTATAATTTGAATATAGTTTTATTTCCATAAGTGATAATTTAGTATGAAATTACTTTACGGTACTACCAAATTGAATGAAGTACATATCAGATTACAAAGTTCGCTGTTTAGTGATATGTTCATTAAATAGAAGCCAAATAAATCTTTAGATTAAATCATGAATTTCACTAACTGTATGTACGACTGAGTTAGTTTTGAAAAATCATGTTTAGACACAGTTATTCGTCAATGGAAGTTCGAAAGTACTACATCCAAGATTATTAAATAATATCATTTGTCATAACATAATGAACAATATTTTCATTTTTGAATTATTACAAATTGTGGATGCGCGCTGCTGAGAAGTCCCACAATAGGACGAAACGGTCATCCAGTACTTCCAGGTTTTCCATGTCGACCTAGCCTCAATCAACTCACGATCTTAACTATTGAAATTACTACAATCTCTACAAAAACCCTTTCTGATATTAATACAAATTGATTTTCATTTGTGTTCAGTGTCAGAAACCTAGTTCAGAAATATGTCAAATTAGATAGTTGTTCAGTTTTTGTATAATCGTTGAAGGGAATTTTATTTTACACCATTCATAAAAGTGAAATCGATATTGTTTAGTTTGTTTTAATGTTATACTATTATTATTTTAAATTTGATCCCGTACAAAAAATGAAAGTCATAAGTTAGTCTAGCAGTCAACAATGTAAAATTTGGCAAATGTATGTGTTGTATCCAAGTGATGAATAAATTACGGGTGATTTATGAGAACTATCAATGAACTTATTATATTACTGGTCAGTAACCAGATTATGTATATCTATATTCTTATTATCATAAGCTTCGTTTTGATCTATAGATCATTATTATACGATTGACTGTTCTTAATCTATGTTCAGTATATTGATTACAGTCTCCCATATTGACAGCTACTTTTTGGCTTGATTTTGTGTAAATGTTATTTCCTATTTTATAGTGTGATGCGATCTTTTTGTCTGGTATATAAATCAAGTATATTTTAAATAAATTATTCGTATAGCAGAAGCTGTTATTGACGTTCTGGACTCAACTTGAAGGGCTAAGAGGACAAATGACCATTAAGAAAGTTAGCCTGCTCATACTGGTCGGACGTCATTGGTTCAGCACAGTGCTTAAATTGTATAAGTCGTATTCCGATTGATGGATAAGTCACGTGATAATTAGTCGAACTTAAAGTCACAACAGTATGCATCTGTTCAAAATGTTACAGTCCATCAGAAGAATAAAATGAAATGATCAAAATAAATATCACAGTGACTATAGAAATAGTAGCATCAGTATCAGTAGAAAAGATCAGGGTATAGATAAGATTATTTGCAAAGTATTAGTACTTTACAACGAAGCTTGAATATATTTGCACCAAAAAAATTTAATCAAAGTTCAGCGAGTTTCTAAATTAATGTCTAGATTTCAATAGATGCTAATGTATCCGAACTGACAAAACTTCTAAGATAAGTGAAAAGGTCAATATACACAACTACTTTAATCTGGATTATTAGTTAAGTCATTGAAAAGTCTAAAACTCAGATAAAAATGTTGGCTAAACTATTCTTTTCTTTTGACATCAATATGTTTTTATTTTCAAGCGATATCAGTTCGTGATTGAAATATATATTATTTTCAAATGTAAAGAAGACCCATAGTAACCATAGTAACCACACATAGAGATTTACATTAGATTCAATGTTCTTTTTTATTTAAAAAATTAGTTTACAACGAAAATGATTTAAAATCTGTACAGGAATTAGATATAAAGATTTCTATAGTTATTAAATAGATGCATTTTTGAAGACACACTATACAATGTGTAATTTATTGTACTATCAATTGACTTAATTCAGAAATAGTTGAAATCGCTGAAAGTCTTTAGAAGCTAGTAGAAAGAGCATTTTAAACTCTGAAATGTTTTTTGAATTATACGTTACATTGATTAAATGATTAGTTAATCTGTAGTTAAATTTTGCTATGTATCCAGAAGTTTCCAGGAGTGAAAAGTTATCAATAAATGTGTAAATACTTTCATCTCGTAAATATAAACTATCATGAACTCGTTGAAATATCATTTAAAAAATTATCTCACATACTTTACTTACTCATAATAATAAAAAAACTACTCATATATGTTACGAAATCACATGTTGACTCCTCAGCAATGAGCATTCATGGTCGTGCTTTGCGAGATTCGAAATCAGGGCCTATTAGTCTCGCGCGCCAACATTTAACCTCTAGACCATTGAGTTAGTTGGCATCCAACGGTGTTCATGTCTAACTTCAACCGATCCACGACATTGGGTGACATATTCACCGTTGTCTTCAGTGAGTTACTATCTCATAACTGACCGAGTTGAACTCCGCTGGTCATTAATTCTCACTAGGACTCCACGATATACCTCTCGAAGCTATTCACTATTGAATTATACTTAATGTTATAACTAAAATTTTAAGATAATCCTTGTATAGTCAATGTGAACAGATGTTCTTCACCATATGTTTATTTTTTTTAATGATTCTTCATTATAACAACAACAAAAATATTCACATATTTTTTAAAATACTTTTTTATTTATTTTTAATTTTGTTCTCACGTATCCACGTACATACAACCACTGCCAGTTAAGTCCTAGTCACTGCCTTCTCGTGATGAGAGTGTTGTCTACGAAACTTAGAGGAGAAAGAGTAAATATCTGACTCTTTAACCTGTTTGATGAACACGGAGAGTTCACCTACAGGAGTTGGAATACCCTGATTTCAAACCAATGATATACATGGGCTCCAGCATCTTGAGGGAACAAATGACTATCATAGCATTGCATCTCCTTACTTTGCTCCACTACCTTTTGTATCAGATCTTTAGGTTAAATTTTCCGAGTATGGCTCCTTAAGTAAACCAATTACTTCGATTTGGGCACTTGAACAACAATTCAAGTGACTTATGCCTCTTTGTGCTTAAATAAAATATAATACAATTTCTGAATTATTTCTCTTTTCTTTTTCTTTTTCTTTTCTTTTAAAAAGATTTATTTTAGCTAGTTCTGTTTTACATGATAAAGATGTACTTGGTGGACGTATTAATCAATATGTTGATGTCACTGAATTTACAATACATCGTTTACGTTTAGAATATATTCATGAAAATTTAATCAATAATAATAATTTATTAAAAAATTCTAATGAAAATTATTTAATCAATATTAACCAATCAATCAATAATCATTATCAATTACCAATACGTTTAATTAAAATAGGTAATCATTATAATCAGAAATTAACCAATCAATTATCTTCTAAATTATCCTCATCATTATCATCATTCAATTCGAATCAATTTATTAAACCATTACGTGTATGGATTATTGGACAATATAATGGTAATGTTAAATTATATTTATCACCAATTAATAGAAATTTATTAAATACATTTATACCGCCAGGTTTAATAAAACAATTAAAAGATCATACATCAATACAATTACATAATGATAATCAATCATTATTATTAAAAAATGATGAACAATTTAAAGAGCCAAGTATAACTGTTCATGTTACAGATGAAACAAGTATATGGCCCGTTGGATTATCTGCACAATTAGTAACAGGTTAGTTTATAGAATCTGTTTTGTTTGTTTGTATTTATTATCTTACGACGAGATATAAAATTAGATGGTGGTTGGAGGTAGTCGACAGGAAACCCTGGATCCGGGTTTCGTGCTACTTGGCACTCGTCAGCAAGGTGTACTTGTAATCTTGAGGGAACTGGTGCTCCCTGACGGATTCGATTCCGTGTCACCCAGCTTCACAGTCAGAGACGTTACCACTGAACTATCCAGGCCGCGACCGACCTCCTATAGGACTGAGATGTAATCACAATTGATTGATCACTGGGTGGTGGTCAATGTCATGTACGTTAGGTCCTTCTCAATGCAGATCGGATCTTATCGATCAAGTTGTAATGTAACCATCAGTCTAAGTGATTTGATCTACACTAAGAAGGATCTGACATACATCATATTGATCACCATCCAGCGATCAATCAATTGTGATTAAACCTCAGTCCCACAGGAGATCAGTCGCGGCCCGGATAGCCCAGTGGTAATGTCTCTGACTGTGAAGCTATGTGACACGGAATCGAATCCGTCAGGGAGCACCAGTTCCCTCAAGAATACAAGCACACTCTGCTGACGAATGCCAAGTAGCACGAAATCCGGATCCAGGGTTTCCTGTTCACTACCTCCAACCACCAACTAATTTCAACATAGTGCATGCAGTGTTGAGCCACCTGGACTGGTGGCCAAACTGCAACATGGTCGATAGCATTCGATCTGCACTAGGAAGGACTTGACATACATGGCATTGATCACCGACCACCCAGTGATCAATCAGTTGTGATTACGAGATATAAAAAAATTGGAGAATATTTTTAGATTCATTGTAATGTTTGTATTATGTTTTCATAGTTGACATTATAAAATGATCTTAGATAGATTATTACCGAGAAGATGAGAGTAATGTATTATTTCCTTATGCTCGATTAATCAACTCATGTGATATGCCAGTTAACTAGAGATACCAATTTATACGATCAGAATAATGACATCTAAATCGACACGAATACCCTAGAGTTCTTATTGGTTCACTGAGAGTAATATCGGTGAGATTACAATTTATGGACAAACCAATCCAATTCGGGATAACAAGTCTTGAATTTTTGCGAGAAATTCATTCACCAAATTAGTTAAATAGAGTTTTAGCGTTATAGCTGATGTCAGTTCGTGATGAGAATCTCAAATCTAATTCTTAACCTTAATCATCAACCGTAAACCATAATTCTAATTCATCAATCAGGTTTATAAGCATCATTCGGTTCTGGTTATTAGGTGAACACTCTCAAAGTCAGTCTAGCGTCGCCTAAATGTCGTTCATAAATTATAGTCTCACTGTAATATCTTCTCTTCAAACCCAGCCACTTTAGTCCGGAATGTCAATATCAGCCTCCGCAATACAAATCATATACTTTAGACATACTGGGTTTATATATAAATAAACCAGACAGCATCAAATTATGAATAGAAAATAACAATTATGCAAGATGAAGCCAAAACGTGACTGTTACTAATAAATTAGGAATATTTCAAGAATAGTGAATTATATGATAACAGTCAACAGGTTAAATAAAAGCTTATAATGAAAGGAATATGAATATTTATATAATATAGTCACTTAATAGTTAAACAATAAGAATATACACACAATATTAGTTCATAAATAATTCCTAATGGTTATTATTTATTTATTCTCGTTCGGATATAAGACACCGGATAACGATTTCATCCCATTAAGGGTGGGAATCCTCAGCGGTTTGTATCTGAGAAATCTCACTCGAGGATCAGACCCAGGATCTCTGTTCTCTTGCGTGAACGCTCAGTTTCTGGATCACTGTGAGGGCATCCAACGACGCATATATATATATATATATATATATATATATATATATACCATCGAAGTGAAAAGAAAATCCAACATAGGGCCTCCTCGCGGAGCTATTGGGTAGTAGGGTCAATTTTGTTAGCTATCTTAGACAGTCGACAGAGATCGGACTAATCCATCACTCAGCTGTAAACCAGATTAAACGGTTTCTATTCTCGAGGCTCTCTAAAAGTCTTTTGGGGCTACCTGATATGTATGATTATGTACATGAATTACATCAGTCTGGACTAGTGTGGTTTGTTCATGTAGGTATATTCTAGGGGTACACTCGTGAGCTAGCACAAAAACGTAGGCTGAAATATTTCTGTCTTTCAGATCGAGGATATAATGAAAATATATGGCAGCAAAAAATTCAGATAGGTGATCATCAAGCTTCCTTGAAAAAGTGCTTATGCTCAATTGTATATCATGAAGTGCAGAGGCGAAAGCCATCGTAACAGTGATATGCATGTAATGCGTTGTATCAAATACGTTCTCAGGCAGCAGTGACCATCTACCCTTACAGCTGGATGAATATATCAGTATGTGTGCTACATATTGCATGAATGAAAACTCGTGTGTTTCTGGTGTGGATGTAATGTATATTTACCATCAGGTTAATTATACCTCTATGTATACCAAAGGATGAACAGGTGAGAACTTTTGGGTTACCGATATGCATGTAGACCAAACATGCTCAGGGTATGAAGCCCGCTCACCGAGACCTGGAAGTAACAATTTCCATCTAAATTACATCCACATGGTGGGTTTTTGAGCGATGAGGAATAGAAACGATTTCTAGAAAACCCAATCAACTTCACCGGACAACGTTTGAGTTACGAGTTACGAGTGAAATTGATTGTAAGTAATTAGTTAAAATGAGTTTAGAAAACATTAAATAATCAGAAGATTGAAAAATTTTGCATAACATAACAGTAACTAAACAGAAGATTAAATGTAAATTATGTGGCTGTACGAAAATGTTTCATATACAAATATAAAGTTAATATTTGTTATTCCATTGTCTCCATTGGGAGTAACAGGCCTAAGTGAGTAAGCTAGTAATTGGTATTCCTATTGCTTTATCTCTATATTTTAAAGATGAATTCTAAAAGTATAGGTCAAATTCGTTGAAATTTATTAAGCAAACTTGAAAGCTAAATTTGTATTGATGATGTAATTAGTATCGACTAAATGATTAAATCAAATCAAGCTTATTATTGATTTGGTTAATTATTCGATTAACCATAAGGATTAATGTTCAGAGATACGATGGTGTATTTGTTTTGTTACGCTTTCATTCTTTCGTGTTAATTAAGTGTGCACAGATCTCAATGTTTTTTTTGTTTTAAGTATGAATTTTCAATGTAATAGTAATTTCAGTAGTTAAGATCATGAGCCAATTGAAGTTAGACGACCACGGAAAACTTGGAAGTACTAGACGGCCGTTTCGTCCTATTATGGAACTCATCAGCAGTCCGCATCCACGACCCCGCCTGGCGGGATTCAAACTCAGGACCTATCGTTCTCACGCGAGGCAGGATCCTAAATACACACAGCTGAGGAGTCCCAAAGTATGGCGAAACGGTCATCCAGTGCTTCCGGGTTTTCAATAGTGGTCCAGCTTCAATTAACTCATGATCTCAACTCTTGAAATTACTACAATCTCCACAAAACCCCTTTTTGATACTAATAGTAATTTACTTATATATAAGGTAAAAAATGTATAATATATTCCATTGACTCATATTATTGAAATCATAACTAGAATGTATCTGTATAGTTCATTATGAATTTTGACTAGTTGTATATTCTTCCGTTAATTTATTTTATCTATTGAAGTGTTCTCGTTATATGAAATATTGAGTAAATGAACAATATGCATCGTTTTTTCCCCCAAAAGAATATCAACTATGTAATAATTAGAATATTACTGAACAATGAAAAAATAAATTTTACCTTACTTTAGAACTTCTCAGAGGTATAAAACAATACACCATTGAGTTGACTGCTTCTATGAATCCAGTGTTTGTCTTGCTGTGCTAATGAGGTGTGACAACTTGGACTGATGCATGTATGTGCCTGGTCCTACGTTGTAACTGACTGACTGAATTTATTAATGAAATAGCTAAACTCTCACAATTATTATCCGTAAGTTCTTGTTTCGCTCATTAAACCAATCCATTATTTAAATATTTTCATTAAAATTTAGTGATAGATGCCATCACTGGTTTGTATAAATCTATCAATAAAACACCGCCTATAGAAATTGAAGTTAATTTTGGTCCATTTACGAATGTCTGTTTTATAGTAGAATTATCAGAAGACCTAAGATAATAATGTCAGGTCTATTATTCAGTTTGTATTTCGATTTTGGACACCTATTGTATACGGGTAAATACTTAGTGTTATGTCTTCTTAAGTATTCTTTATAATCAACAGAACACTACATGGAAAGCTGTGTTATTCTAACTATTTACTCCTGAATATTGAGTATTTAAGATGATTCCAGGGACATTTACTTTCGTACTTACCAACGGTATATGTATACTTATACAAAAAACATACTAATTAAAAAAAACCAGACAACAAATATCTTTCAAAATGTTCTATTTTTATTATACTTACTTACGCCTGTTACTCCTCTTGAGGGAGCATAGGCCGCTCACCAGCATTCGCCATCCAACCCTGTCCTAGGCATTTCTTTTCAGCTCTTTCCAGTTGTTATTCATCCTTTTCATATCTGATTCTGTTTCCCGACGTAATATGTTCTTTGGCCTTCCTCTTTTCCCCTTCCCTTCAGGATTCCAAGTTAGTTATTATAAGTAGCATAAATTAAACATAGAATTGAAGTGTAACAGCGTGAATTTCATTGTGTTTAATCATTTGTCATTGGTAAGATATATTCATTATTGAAATGACTAAATAGATTTTTTGAATAAAATCTACCAATAAGTTTGTTACCACTTAAAAATTCATCAGTTCACATATATATTGTGACAACAGAGAGGATGTAAAATATGATCATTTATGAAAACTTTATTAAACATATCAATGGAATTCTTATGAACAAGAAGTATCAATTTACTAATTACTTATTCATTCATTCGTTTATTCTCTTTAATATATATAGATGTTTTTATTGTGTAAGAATGCATTCTTTTAACTACTTACGTAAACCATATTACTGTTGTAATACCACTGAGTAGGCATCTAACGATGTTAATGTCCAACTTCAATCAATCCAGTTCAATGGTTTGAAGGTTCAATGTTCACGCGAGACTATAAGTCCTGATTACGATTCCTGTGTGCGGATTCTTGGATGCACACTGTCAAGCAGTACCATACTAAGATGAAACAGTCGTCTAGTGCTTCCAAGTTTTCAATGATAATCTATTTTAGATTGACTCGTGAATTCACCGGATAAAAAAATACTAAAATAGATTTCGTATATAAAATCTATTTACTAATACATGAATTATCCTTTTTCTTTTTTAATAGATTTCTCTATCTCTGTTAGTCATTCATCTGGTATGGATGATACACATCAAAGAACAAGTTCAACGTTATCATCTTCAAATAGTAATAATAACAATAATAATAATATTGATAATAATAATAATAATAATGATAATTTATTCTTATCATCATCTACAGAACGTATGCCAATTCTATCTGGCGTTTATTCACTTAAAGTTGAATTAAAAGGTAGTAAATTAACTCATAGTGGATCAATTAATTCAGAATTTAATCAACCAAATATAAATACACATAGAAAAATGTCAATATTATCTAATAATAATAATAATGATAATTATCATTTTAATAATAAAACAAATCAATTAAATGCAATTACAATGGGTAATCCTATTGGATTTCTTATTGTATGGATACATTTATCTGATGGTTCATCTATTTTATGGAATCGAATGACTGAGGTATGTAATTTACATAAATAGTACAATTAATTATTGTGCTAGTAACTTTTTTCTTCTTCTTAAAAGTACTTAACGGAAGTGTACTACAAAGTAATAAATGTCTGAGCACTGGAAAACCATTAGACCGTTTCAAATTTGCCGCCGTTCTGTTTCAACGACCTTGAATGGCCTCATAAGAGGAGGTTATTCCGTATTTCAAATACTGTGGGTTTGTTGGGTGTCCGTTGAGTTGCACGAATGTCAGGTGTTCCCATATTTAAGTGGTCTTTTGCTTCAGCAAAACTACGAAATCATTGCGAAGAACATTGATTTGACTCTCTCTGTCTTGTAGTGCACACGTTGGATCGATTTTTGCTTCGTAAGTTCCCAATCTCCCCATTTTGGGGATAATTTTGGTTGGAGGCGTCTTGTTCTGTTTGCCTGGAAGCAAAACGTATTGTGAACAGATGTAACCTGAATAGTGGATAAATTGGGACATGCCGTTATCTTTGCCGTCATGTGCTTCCGGCATATAAAAGAAGACGAACTCCTCCAGGCAAGCTCGATCAATTACGAAACATAAACTGTATAGTTCATCATGATGAATTTCACTTGCATGAGTTTGCATTGTTACAAATAACCATATTAGGCTGACTAAACATTTACCCAGGTTGTAAACAACAAATACGTCAAATTACTAATTAACTAAAATAAAAGTTATGTAACAAGCACAAGCATTACGAAATTTGTCGTGTGACGGAAAAAATGCTGTTATTAGCTGATAAATAACGATATCTCAAAATCCTCGACAATCTGTAACCTGTGCACGAAAACTCATCACTTAACGTCTAGACCTTTCCAAATATCTGTTATCTCGACATTTAATATACTACTCTCTATACAATTAGTCAATATGACCATTTGCATATAGAGAAGACGATTGATAAATTACTTCTAAAAACTATTTGTTTCAAAGAGAACTGTTACTTTGAGTAGCATAAGACAATGAGATTCCAAAACGAAATCGGTTTAATGATTTAAAAATTAATTTATAAACAATACCCTTGATGTCATCTTCCTGACCATGAAAAGCGATGCTTCATAATGATCTATGTTCTGTGGTACTTAATAAATATGGAGTATATTTTTTGCAGATAAAACTCTAATGTAAAATATAAGTGATTTATTTCTATTCATTAAACATCAAAGCTTTCTATTAAAGATTCAGAAAATTATAATTATTATCTAACCATAAAACAAGACGGGTATTTGAATTATGCTAAAAATAAATTCACTAATTTTGGGTAATCAAACTTTGTTGATTAGTAACAATTTTTAGCAAGTTAGCGAGTTAGTTTTCTGCGGGATAGGGTCTTTAAACTTATGCCTAACGCTCCTTCTTTCTTTACCCGGACTAGAGACCGGCAATAATCCCAGAAGAGCTGCAGGTGGAGTTAAAGTTCTATTTGTCAATTCATTTGAATAATTAAAATCAACTTACTTACTTACTTACGCCTGTTACTACCAATGGAGCATAGGTCGCCGACCAACATTCTCCAACCCACTCTATCCTCCGCCTTCTTTTCTAATTCCATCCAATTTTTGTTCATTTTTCCCATGTCTATCACAATTTTTCGGCGTAATGTGTTCTTTGGTCTTCCACTTCTCTTTTCGCCTTGAGGATTCCATGTGAGGGCTTGTCTTGTGACACACTTGGGTGCTTTCCTCAATCTGTGTTCTATCCACTTCCAGTGCTTCTTCCTGATTTCTTCCTTCACTGGAATCTGGTTTGTTCTCTCCCATAGTAGGTTGTTGTTAATAATGTCTGGCCAACGGATCCTAAGTACTTTGCGTAGACAACTGTTAATAAACACTTGTATCTTCTGGATGATGACTTTCGTAGTTTTCCATGTTTCTGCTCCATACAGTAGAACCGTCTTGACATTTGTATTGAAAATCCTGACCTTGGTGTTGGTTGACAGTTGCTTTGAGTTCCAGGTTTTCTTCAGTTGTAAATATGCCACTTTTGCTTTACCGATCGACGCTTTCACATCTGCATCAGACCCATCATGTTCATCAATGATGCTGCGCATATATGTAAAGGTTTTCACATCTTCGAAATCTTGTCCGTCACTTGTAACTGGATTGGTGAAAGATGTGTTGTATCGGAGGATCTTTCTTTTCCCTTTGTGTATATTGAGACCTACTGCTGCTGAGGCTGCGTTTTTTTAGCGAGTTAGTTTTCTACGGGATGGGGACGCTAACCCCATGCCCGACCCTCCTCCTTTATCCGGGCTTGGGACCGGCAGTAGCCCCCGGAGGGACTTCAGGCGGAGTTCGTGATGATGAATTTAAAATCAAAGCATAATTTATATGATATCTGGTTCCCTAGACTTGTGTTAACATGGCAACTTGATCAAGACATTTTCCATGAATACTGCTCTCAATAAAAAATTTTTATTTTAGTTTTCGGTCAGTCTTAATTTTGCATAACTTCCTTTCATTTCTATTTTGTAGTTTTGTTGTATTGTATAAGTTATACAAAGCCCAGTTGTCTGTTCCAGAAATATAACAGATGATTACAATGAAACTATCAAGTGACATACTTCGTTAGATAAAACAACTGATTAGCATTTAATGAAAGATAGATGTATCAGATTAAAACAAAAGACATAACAAATAATAGCACCGGATAAAATAACTCTTTTGAGTTATATGATTTCTCAAACACAGGAACTGAAATAAAACATGTTACTATAATATGATATGCAAAATATACAGTCATTAGTCATTATTTATGTTATCCATTTTAACAGATAATAAGCAATGTATATAATGATGTTTTATGCTTGAATGAAAAGTTTACATCTTTCACATAGACGCCTTCTAGTCATAATGCTTAAAATTATGTTATTAAGATAATTATATTCAGTCTTATTGTCATATAAAGCTATTATAAGTAGTCTATTTAAATTAGTATTACGACTAATAAACTAAAGCATATCCAAAGGATTTCTACAAATAAACTAGTAGCTTCTTTCAAGATGTTCAAGAATTTCAAGAAAGAGGTAGTAGCTGGTGGAGTTCAGACATATTAAAAGTGACAATGTTTTCACCATTGGTTTGGTTAAAACTGGGCTTGGACTAAAAGAAGTCAGCCCATTAGTCTAAACGGTTAAGCATTCACAGCTGAAAATCCTGGGTTTTTACATGACATTGTCTTGAATGTATACTGCCAAGAAGTGCCATACTAGAATGAAAAAATTATCTTGTACTACTTGATCCTCAGTTATACTCTTAATCAAATCAGTCTCTAACAAATGTTACCATATCAAAAACAAATCAATCAGCTCATACACCACATACTACTTGAAATTTTTAAAAAGTTAAATAAATGAATAAAATCACACAGAGAGATTTTGTAGATATTATGGTAATTTAATAATTGAATTCATGAATCGATTTAAACTAGAGCATCATGAGAAACCTGGAAGCACTGGATTGCCGTTTTGTCCTAATATGGGACTCTTCAACAGTGCTCATCCAAGATTTCAAAACCTATCGGTTAAACAATTTTGTTTATATAATTTCAACAGTTGAGATCATGATTCGACCGGGTCAGTTGTGAGGTAGTAACACACTGATGACAATGGTGGATGTGTCGCTCAATTTCGTGGATTAGTTGAACTTAAACATTAACACCATTGGATGCCGACCAGTTCAGTGGTGTAGTTGGTTAAGCGCCTGGCGCGAGACTGATAGGTCCTAGGTTCAAATCTCTCAAGGCCAGGTCGTGGATGCGCACTGCAGAGTCCCACAATAGAATAAAACGGCCGTTCAGTGGTTCCAGGTTTTCCATGGTGGTCTAGCTTCAATCGACTCATGATCTCAACTGTTGAAATTACTACAATCTCCACAAAACCCCTTCTAATACATATTTTCAATTTAACAACTTAATCATCATCATCACCAACAGCAACAGCAACTACAACATTCATGAATACAATTGACAGAAAAACTAATTTTTATCATCGAAATTTTTACAACAAAAAATTTCTTTCAATGTTCTGACTTCTTTTTTTTTCTATATCAAAATTGGTTTCAATTTAATTAAGTCTACGATCAATAATAAACGGATTGATCAACCAATCAAATGATGACTGATAGATAAAAAGGAGGAAAAAACGAATTTACCATTTATTTTTGATGAAAGAAATTGTATATAAGAATTTATTGAAATGATAGAAATAATTATTTACTTGTATCTTCCTATCGTTATTTAGGACTGAAATTGATCAGTCTCTTGTTAGCATATGCACGTCCTGTACGGACTGCTTCGATATAGCTTTATAAGGATAAATGGATAGTGGCTAGTAAGTGGAATCCAATTTGACGTATTTCGTCCTATTTGGGATTTGTTAGCTGGATGTATCTGCATCTTAGAGTTGATGTTCACTCCGGGACTCGAACCTAGTACCGTCCGATTCAAAACGCCATTGCGTTATCCACATAGCTACTGAGTCCTGGGTTCGAATCCAGGAGTGAGCATCAGCTCTGAGATCCAGGTATATATATATATATATATATATATATATATATTCGAAGAATCAATGATCGATATGTTTTTCTTTGTAGTCAGTTAGTAAGATATTTTGTTTGTTTTAATATTCCACAGATTGAAATCATGAGTTAATTGAAGCTAAACCACCATGAAAAACCTGGAAGCACTGGACGGCCATTTCGTTACCAGTGGAGTTCAACCAGGTCTGTTGTGAGATATCAGGTCACTGAAGACAATGATATACGGTGGCACAACTTCGTGGACTGGTTGAAGTTAGACATTAACACCGCTGGATGCCGGTTCAGTGGTCTAGTTGGTTAAGCGCTTGGCGCGAGACTGATAAGTCTAGGGTTTGGATCTCGCGAGGTGCGGGATCGTGGTTGCGCACTGCTATGGAGTCTCATACTAGGACGAGACGGCCGTCCAGTGCTCCCAGGTTTTCCATGTTGGTCTAGCTTCAAATAACTCATAATTTCAATCTGTGAAATTTTTAAAATCTGCACAAACCCCTTCTGTTCTAATATTCACAAAATTGATATAATTTACTATTTAATATCAGTTGAACTCGTACTCAGGGAAAGAATTAAAATTTTAAATAAAAGGATTGTAGAAAAAAAGTGAATGAAAAACGAGCATTAATAAATTTGTCATAATTTTTTTCGGTTGAGTTTAATTTGTGTAAATTTGTTATAATGAAATATTGTAATCTATCAAATAACAACAACAAAAAAACCCAAACATTACTCATTTATAAAAAGAAAAAACAAACAGAGTTTGACATAAACGTATCCACCAGTTTAAGTTTGTCGTAGTCGGTATTCAATATTATCCTTAAACTTCGTATACAGTTCGTCCTGTTAATCGTCACTAGATAACTCTCTAATGGTGTATTATTCAGAAGGCGAGTATAAAGTGTTGAGTAAGTTTATTATTGCATCATGCATAGATAACCAAAACTTACAGGTACGCTAAACAATCATGAAAGAGTAGTGCCAAAAAGCAAGTAGACAAAGGAAATAAATGAATCATTGAATAAATTAAGCGACTAATAATAAGGCTAGTAGAGTGAATATATACGTAAGCAGTAAGCAATGCTCAAGCATACATACAAGTGCAACAATAGTAGAGCTACAATGGTATGTTGTTATTGTACGAATGATTTTATCCTTTAAATAAGTTAACAAAAGAGCTTAAATAAATTAAATGTGAATAAACTCAATTGCACATGAGTTGCTACTTACATTATTATAGAGAATATACTGTACAGTAGTCCTATTCATAATACTCTCTGATTATAATACATGATTTGTGAGTATTGTGGAATCATTGAGTGAGAAATCTCGTGTTTAACGAGATGTTTTAATGAGGATAGTAAATTGAATGATCAGTCTATTAAGGTAAATAGGTTTTGTTTTGTTTATGATTAACCACTACCTACTCCAACTTATATTCTTGACTTGTATAGAAGTAAGTTGGAAGAAATTTAAGGAGGACTAAACCTAAACGTAGGACCAATCCATTAATGAAAACAACTTAGTTAGCCTCTAAGATAACCAAGATCAATATGTTGATTGGTAATGTTTACTGACATGGCTCAAAATCAATTACAATGAAGCAGACTGATGCATTGTTTGTCATTTATTAGATCCTGAATTTTAATTTTTAACATACATTAGTTACAAATAATATTTGAAATAAGACCCATGTCACTACAATAAATTCTAGATCATTTCACCTAAATTCATCAGTGAGTAATTCAATCCAATAGAAAAGGCATCGGTAACCATTGTATACTGAGATGAGATAAATTCAAACCATTGAGCATGTAGTGATAGACTTGTATAAACGTTTTGTTGTTTATAGTTAAAATAATATGTGAACATTTAAGAAAAAAAGCTAAGTCATACATTTCTCATCACTTCATTTCTTTAGATTTATGAACGACTTTATGGAAAGGATAAGATTCCAATGAGTTTATCAATTAAAAACTGTCGACCTGATTTATTCTGGATTGAAACTAGTTCACCTGGATTAGTAGAAAGAAAACAACGTTCTGTAAAAGGAGTATCTCCAACTTCAACTATTTTTTCATCAGAATCTTCTCAAATTTTATCGAAATCTTCATTTATTCGACAAAATAATAATCAATTTCTTGGATTATCTCGTCGTTCAGTACGTATGAAACCACATTTACTTCGAACTGGTGATCATTCTATATTACGTAATCAACAAACATACAGTAATATGTTACGTAATGGAATCGTAAAGAATATAACATTAATTAATGCAAGTAATTATTGGTCTGGTCCAATAGTATGGTTACTTCACAGAAAAATCAAATTTTCTGGTAAGGATATTCTTTAAATGCAATAAAGTTATTTATATTAAAACAATAATCATGAGTCCTTGATAAGATTGTTTTGAAAAGATTCTTGACTGATCAGCTCAAATTGTTATTCATGTGCATTTATGTAGAGTGTTATTCTTCATCAGTTATTCACTAGTATATCAGCCTTGTTCATACTTTTGATACATTCTTGACCTTTTAAAATTGTGTCTAGGTTAGTTTATGAAGGTGTGTTTGTTCATGAACATTAGTTCAAACATACTGAAAATGATCACAATTGATTGATCACTGGGTGGTGATCAATCTCATGCTTGTCTAGTCCTTATTAGTGCAGATCGAATGCTATCGATCATGTTGCAATGTGGCCACCAGTCTAGGTGACTCAACACTGCGGGCACTATGTAATGAGATTAGATGGTGGTTACAGGTACACCTTGCTGACGAGTGCCAAGTAGCACGAAACCCGGGTCCAGGGTTTCCTGTTGACTACCTCCAACCACCATCTAATCTCAATACATGGTCCCCGCAGTGTCGAGTCACCTAGACTGGTGGCCACATTGCAACATGATCGATAGCATTCGATCTGCACTAATAAGGACTAGACAAGCATGAGATTGATCACCACTCAGTGACCAATCAGTTGTGATTACATCTCAGTCCTACAGGAGGTTAGTCACGGCTCGGATAGCTCAGTGGTAACGTCTCTGACTGTGAAGCTGGGTGACACTGAATCAGATCTGTCAGGGAGCACCAGTTCCCTCAAGATTACAAGTACACCTTGCTGACGAGTGCCAAGTAGCACGAAACCCGGATCCAGGGTTTCCTGTTGACTACCTCCAACCACCATCTAATACTGAAAATGAATTTTTAAACAAAATCTAACCGATAGTCAAGGGAGCTGAACATCATGTATACTAAACTTTAAATCAATATACCTGTCTATATTGTGTAAATATCTTAGTATCTTTTATTTCATACACAAGAACTTATACTGCAGATAAATTGTTTGTCCTGTTCAAAATAACATGTTCTTTGACATAATCAAAGATTGGTAAGTATCCCTTTCATATTACCACCAACTGTGTATACAAATTCACATGTATCTGTCAGAGCAGTTACATTGGTAGAGCAGAAAGGAGAACCTACGTCCGATTCAAAGAACATACTCCGAAGACTGTAAGATCTAATGGATTAGAAACATTCATCAGTGCCATCACAAGACTTCTCCTTAATACAGGACATGTAGTCAATACACTGAAGTCTTTCAAGTTGATTAACAAACAATCAAACTTCAACCTTTTGAAATTTACCGAAGCGATTGCATTCAAATGTCGAAAACCAGATCTATGTATCGAAAAGGAGACAGTAATAAATCTTTCTTTGCCCTGATAATATTAAACCTTTCTGTTTGTTACGTCATTCATTATTTCAACTCTTTCTCAAGTTTAAATCATATCATTATCATTGCTTTCTTCAATTCATAGATGACTGATTTCAGTTTTGTATCTTTCTTTATTACTATTAATCTATTCTCAGTTGCATCATTACATAATCACGTAATTTTTGTTAATCCCATGGATTCTAATCACTATTTGAATGTTCTGTAACTTTCCCTCTCAAACCTTATTTACTTATCTGAAACAAAAACTTGTATGACTTTATTAACTCTGTCGAAATCTTCGCTACATCTTGATACACATATCCATCCATTAATCACCTTCCTATTTAAAAGTATGTCTCTAGTGAACAGAACACGGGTGGGGACAACCGAATGTATTTCGCACAGAATTACAGAGTTACTCGGTAAAATAGAAAAACCATATAGTATGTCGTTAATTTGCACAATATTAATCCATCATATCAAACCGGACTGTTCCTGTTGCAATCATCAATCCATTGTCTCACATTTCAATATTTATGCGTTTCCTTACATTGTGTCCCCGCTCTTCCTTTTTTGATCTGCTCTCATCTTCTGCTGCCAGACATTCGGTTTTTAACTCGCGTCATATACTACTTACATCAATAGAAATAGCACGCACCACATGTCAATATCTGTGATAACTTTGATTTTCAAATATTTTAGGTTGTAAGCAACTGATGTGAACCTAATGGAATTAAATGAATCCATTTATTACTCTGTTTCAATCTTTGTTCTTGTGATCTTTTATTCCATGATGGGATATTAATTATTAATTTCATGGAAAAACTGTTACAATCAAATCAATTGATTTTTATCATGTTTATTTCTAAGTAAACTATAAATGCCAAACAGTATTATCACATTTACAGAATAGATGGAATGCAATTAGCAATGAAATTCATGAGAGATTTTTCGTCCTATTTTAAGACTCATCAGTTGAGTATACGCGTACCACGTATTGATGTTTGTTCTGTGATATGAACCTAGTATCTAATGCTTCAACAATCAAACGGGTTATCCATCAATCTGTTGAGTTTCAGATAGTCCTTAGCTTTTGCAGCGGGTATAACGTTTTTACCATTAGTAATAAGGTTGTAATTATCTTGTTATTCGTATTAGGAAGTGAATTTCGAACGAATTAAAAGAAGGAATATATGTTTTGTAATCGCGAATTATTTTAAAAGTTTATAAAAGTTAACTTTTGATTTGTATTGTAATCACATATGGTAACTTATCAAACCAATAGTCATATATTCCATACGAATTCTTTATATAGATAGATTCAGTTAAGTCTCATACATAAGAACTCTTTTAAGCATTATAAGCAAATATGGGTAGTGGCTAGCAGTAGAATCCAGTTATGACGCGCGTTTCGTCCTACTTGGGACTGGTCAACTGGATGTACCTGCATCTCAGAGTTATTATTCACTCTAAGACTCGAACCCAGTACCGTTTGCTTCTAACGCCATCGCGTTATCCACTTACCTACAGAGTCCTGATAGCCACTTGCTTCTGCAATGGGGTGAAGTTTAAATTCACTTGGTATTGTTTACTTGAATCTTATAATGTTTGCGAATTAAGTCAATATCGAGGCAATACACATAGTATGCATATATGCCAATAAGAGACTGATCCATTGTAGTCCTAAACACATCAATGGAAAGATTTAAGTAAACAATACCAAATGAATTTAATTCTTTCAACGTTTCAAATTTATATTTCTTATGAATATCAATCTTCACAAAACCTAAATTTTGTGCTACTTATCGATTGTCACACATATGTTCTATCATAAGTTATTCAACCCATTTTTTCCTCTTTTAATTAGGTGATATATTAGAAGTTGGGCTAACATCACCAAGTGGAAATCTTCTAGTTCCACATGTTCGTATTCGTGGTGAAATAATAACTCCTAAAAATAGTTTATCTATGAATGAATACTTAGAAAGTAACGATCATTATGAACTGAATTCAAAAACTATACAAGTAAATATAGAATAATTAGATATTTTTTTATTTATTTAAAACTACTGATTTCATACAACTTCAATCTCAATGGTTAAGATAATGAGTCAGTTGAAGTTGGACCACCATGGAAAACCTGGAAGCACTGGATGGCCGTTCCGTCCTATTGTGAGACTCCTCAGCAGTGCGCATCCATGACCTCAATCATTGAATACAGTTATCATTTCAAAAGTACTACTTATATTCATCAATCAGGATATCTATTGATCAACCTTTGATGACATATATATTCAATCTTTGGTCAATGTTTCAATAATAGCTTCAGATTTCAAGCTATTATCTATCTGAATTCATTAGTGTAATGAATAATACGTTTACTTTAGAAGTAATAAGCATTATATAATTTTGAGATAGTGGAGATTTGTAGCTCAGATAGATGATTTTGATGGAGTTTTGTTATTTGAAGTTTGTGCTGATGATGTCATTCAGAAGAAAGATGAAAGCTCCACGACCAAACCATTCAACTCAGAGAATAAAACTCCATCAAAAAGCATCATATGCTAGTTTCAGCATGAGCATAAATGCTGAGTTATAGACAAATCTAGTTAATAAGTTTCAAATAAGACACAATGGATATTTTATATTACACTATCGGATACAATCAAAATATACACCGTAAACTTGTTACTTAAACAGTGTAATATTATGTTTTACAAAGGATCTAACATTTGATATAATAAAGCACCATATGGTTTCTTGGCAAATACTTACTAACTTACTTATGACTGTTACTCCCAATGGAACGTAGGCTGACGACCAACATTCTCCAACCCACACTCTTCTGGGCCTTCCTTCCAGTTCTATCCAATTTTTGTTCATTCTTCTCATGTCTGTCTTCATTTCTCAGCGTAATTTGTTCTTTGGTCTTCCTCTCCCCGTTTGGCCTTGGGGATTCCATGTGAGGACTTGTCTTGTGACACACTTGGGTGCTTTCCTCAATGTGTGTCCTATCCACTTTCAGCGCTTCTTACTGATTTCTTCCTTCACTGGAATCTGGTTTGTTCTCTCCCATAGTAGGTTGTTGTTAATAATGTCTGGCCAACGGATCCTAAGTACTTTGCGTAGACAACTGTTAATAAACACTTGTATCTTCTGGATGATGACTTTCGTAGTTTTCCATGTTTCTGCTCCATACAGTAGAACTGTCTTGACATTTGTATTGAAAATCCTGACTTTGGTGTTGGTTGACAGTTGCTTTGAGTTCCAGGTTTTCTTCAGTTGTAAATATGCTACTCTTGCTTTACCGATCGGCGCTTTCACATCTGCATCAGACCCATCATGTTCATCAATGATGCTGCCTAAATATGTAAAGGTTTTCACATCTTCGAAATCTTTTCCGTCAAATGTGACTCTACTGGTGCCATTTTATGTTGCATCGGAGAATCTTGCTTTTCCATTTGTGTATGTTTAGACCTACTGCTACTGAGACTTTCTTGGCAAATAACTCATGTACATTTAAGAGATAAGTGCTAACAATCATTTAAAACGGAATGGGAATTTATTGACATTTTCGAGTTTTCATATTTAATATTTAATCACAGAATATCATTATTATTATTGTATGTTGTTAATATATTCCTGTTTTATTGATGTTTGCTGTTAGTGACTTCAACATTGTTGGTGGGAATTACATTTAACTCGGTGTAGAATTGCAGCACTACCTTTAAAGAAATCTATTTAAAATTATTAAACGGTTATAAATTCTTATATTAATTGATGATATAATCAATCTGTTTAGTACTAAGTGTAACTTGAATAGAGTTTGTTAGTGTAGCACAGTCTATCGTTGTTCAAATCATTATCATAAGACTATACTTCCGTATGACTTGGAGATTAATTTTATCAACCCAAATGAAAATCTAAGCTCATCGATCTACTAATTCACATGAGAGACTCCAATACGAAAACAGTTATCCGTTTGAGTTAAAAGTCTTCTATATTAATTTAAAACACTTTGTTTATGAATTAAAGTCAACTGATGAATCCTTATAAAACCGTAAGTTAAATTATAGACACTGAAATGTTTTATTATATCTAAATAGTATGTTTGTTTTATATCTAACAGGAAAGTAAGACCAATCAAGGCAATATACATGGTTCTATGGCATTTAAAGATGCTCCTGGATTTCAAAAACTGGATTATTATCATCCAATGTATTCATCATCATCATCATCATCAGCAGCAGCAGCATTATCATCATCATCTTCGGATAAAATCTCTAATTCACAAAACCCTCAGCTATCTAATACTGTTTCTATAAATTCTGATGATATTAATGTAGACGATAGATTGTCTATTTTATCTGATGTTGGTGGTGGAAATACTAATCATGTAGAAAATAAAGAATTAATACAAGACAGTAAAAATAAACCATCCATTAATCCCAGGAGTGGTAGTCGTAACAGTAACAGTGGTTACAATGGTATTAATGGAAATAATGACAGGGCTAACGATGCAAAAACTAGTTCAAGACCCGCATTAGAAATGAGTATGTATATTTTACTTGGTCTATTTGCTGTAGTTGGACTTGTATTTGCTGTCAATTGTGGAGTTGTTGTTGTACGTTATCGTTGGGAGAAGATGAATATGGATAATACTGACGGTATTGACACTGCTACTCGTAATGGCAGCTGTAGTATTTCTAGTGGTTGTGTTAGAGGAAAATATAATAAATCACTTAATGATGATAACAATCACTCTCAATCTTTAACATTTACTGACCCAGTATCCAATAATAATGAGGTGACAGATCATAATCAATTAATATCGGCTATTTCTACTTCACCAAAGTATAATTGGAAAAACCATCCAAAAAGTGATGCTGATAATCATGACAAACTATTGCCAAATAATATTAATAGTCATAACAATAATAAAGAACGGAAACGCACTAAACGATCTGCTTCATCAGTGTTTGGCAGTCGTCAAAAACACAAGGTGAGCTATAGTCAGAGTTGAACAGTTTTGACCTCATATTTCAAGTGTTATCAATTACTTTTTTATCAGTGGCCGATGACGTTGTCCAAGTCGTTTAGACATTGAGCAAAAATCATATCCAATTAGATTTCGTGAGGTTCAGTTAAGAAATGATTGATATGATAGGCTTATTTTTAATTTGGTGTGTTTTATCACCGATACCAAATCCAAGCTGACTATAGTTTCAAATATAAACCACTGAATACTATCTTATATAATGGTTCTAAATGTAATAACCTTCTCTCTTTATCAGACCTGTACGTTATCACTGATTAGGTGAATGACCACTGAACATGATCTGATCTCATATAATAACAATGTGAACTATTTTGTGTCCGAGTGTAATTTAACTACAAGACTGCAACAAAACGCTATTCTATTGATATTACTTTGATAAGTATTTAAAAGCTTAGAAATGCTTCCGAACTATATTGATGTATTTATGACAAATGATTTTATATTTGGATCGAATTGGATTTTCGTCATTGAAAATCAAAAAGCATTGAACAGTTGTTTCATCTTAGTATATTCACAGTTGGATTCACGAGTCTATCTAAGCTAGACCGTATTTGAAAATCTCGATGCAGTGGATGACTGTTTCGTCCTAGTATTGAACTCGTCAGCAGTGCACATCCACGATTCCGCAGACAGAACTCCAACCCAGAATCTTAGATCTCTTACGCGAACACTTGAGCTCAAGACTACTGAGCCGGCATTCAACAATGTTATTGTCTCACTTCAATCGATCCAATATCTTGCGCAACCCTTCACCCATTGCCTGAGATGTATAAATGTCTCTCACTCGATGCGGATTGGACTCCACTGGTCACGTCTTCTCACTAGAACTCTAAAAACTCAATCTTGAAGCTAGCCACTAGTGAAAACGTGGCTATTATCACAATGGGGATTTGTGGAGATTGTTGAATCTTATTAAAATCCTAATTAGATTTAAAGTTAGACCTATGAAAATCTGGACGGCCATCTAGTGCGTCCAGGTTTTCAATGACGGTCTAGCTTTGATCAACTTGTGAATTCAACTGTGAAAGTACTTTAATTTCCACAAATCCTCATACTGATCATCTTAGTGTAATCATTTTCAGTAGTTTCAGTGAGACATCATAGTCAATGCGATTCATTCATATCGGTTGTAAGGTAGTTGGACATTCGCAATGTTAATTGATCCCAAGATATTTAGCGGCTGCCTAAAAGTAACAATTATACCATAAAATCTGATGTTCGGATAAATGTCAAGTGATATGAGAAGTATGTACTGTTCGAAAATATCATACTAATCTGAAATCTATACCCGATAGTAACAACTGATTGATCACTGAATAACAACCAATGTCATTCTTATCTAATCCTTTTAAAGTGTTAATCGAATTTCATCGATCAGTTTTCAATGTGGTCATTGGTCTACGTAACTTGATATCGTGTTCAAAATTTTAAGATGCTAGGTGGTTGAAGGCTGTTAAGAGTAGTCCTGGACCTAAGCTTCGTGCTTATTTGTATCCAACAGCAAAGTGTACTAGTAATTTTGGGGAAACCAATGGTTCCTGGAGGATTCCAGTCAGAGGTACATGAACTCACAGACTGCGATGCTACTTTTAGACCTTTAGAGCCTCAACCGAATAGCTCAGTGGTAACATCGCGGACTTTGAAACTGCGTAACACGAGTTCCTCAAGATTACAGGTATATCGTTAATAAATTCAATCTTGTAATGAGAATATTTCCTTTGCCTAAATGTCTTAGATTTTTCCATAACTCATTTCTACTATTTGGATTATTTGCAGCCATTGTTACATCGTGATTCAAGTTGGGTATGGGTTGGTCGTCAACATGTTATTAGTGAACAAAATGAAACTGATAAATTAGACGAAAACTCAAATCCTCATCACCATCACCATAGTCAGCTCATTGGTTATAATTCGGAATTAACTAATTTTAACATAACAGCACCAACTTCTACTACTACTAATATTATTAATAATGGTAGTAGCATTGGTGTACCAAAAATAGATGCCAGTTTATCTCATTCACATAAACGTCCAGTGCAATTTAATGGGATGAAGAAAAATTCTACAACTGCTGTATTATCAGTTGGTGAAGCTGATTTGTTATTATTACAGTCACCATATCGTGAAAGTGTATGGCAAGATACTTTACGTTCGGACACTATAGAATCAGATTCACGTTTCTTATATGTAACACGTGATAATCTTACACAACAATTTGGATATACAGAAGAAACACAACCTAATTCATTTTTGTATAACCGATTGTCTATACCTGCCAGTAATGCACCTAAGAATGAGTGTCAGACACTTGGTCGTCACTTGAAACGTCATACAACAGCATTTACGCAGCGCAATTATCAGGTATCATGGGTCTTTTGTGATGATTTTTACTAGTTTTTTTATTTATCATTTTCATCGTAATTATAGAAATTCCTACGTAACGCAGTGGTTTTATTGCTATCTATTGAATAGTAATGAAGTATAGTCAAAGGTAACTTTAACTAATATCAAGATACCGTTTATATGATGTTCTGTTTGTAGGCGACCTAAGGATATCTTTATTTAGAAAACTCGAATGTAAAATTTGTTTGGTACAAGCCAACAGAAAGTCAGACTGGTGGTATAAAAACTTATTTTAGATCCTGCCGGAATTCATTTTTTTGCGATTTGAGTGTCTTAGGATATGTATATGCATACTAGTATTCTTTCATAGTTAACCTTATAAAGTCAAATATTGAATACCATATAATTTGATGCGATTCTCCCTCTCGAAATGCAAAATGTTGCTTCAGGATTGAGTTTCATCAGCACCTGAATTAATGATAGGGAGTGAAGTATTTGAGCGTGTCGACCGCTTCACTTAGCTCGGGAGTCTCATCAGCCCTTGTGGTCTGGTGTGTGACGAAATCTTAGCACGGATACAGAAGGCTTGACTAGCTTTTACCAACTTGCGTCATTTATGATGAAAGCGGGATATCCGTCTATCAACCAAAGGACGGGCTGACTGCGCATAATTTGCTTCGTCTTACTTAATGACAGTGAAACATGGCCGGTCAGAGTAGAGGATATTCGTAGGTTACTGGTATTCGATCATAGGTGTCTTCGAAGCATTTCTCATATATCCTGGAACCACTAAGTAAGTAACGCAGTTGTTTGGGAACGGGTACTAGGTAAGGATGGCAAATCAGTTGATGAAGTAGTGAAACTTCGTCAATGGAGATGGCTGAAACACATGTTACGTATGCCCAACGACCAACTGTCTCGACGTGCGATGTTCTGTGGTATAGAAACTGTTTCAAAACTTGAATAACGCAACAAATATATCGTTAACAACTGATAAGAGTTAAACTTGTATGATTGGAATGAGTTTCTTTAAAGGTGTACATAGTAGGAGTATACTACTAGCATTAAGGTGTAAATTGGAAGATAGGTAGGGGCGGCCACACCAAGACATGGCACAAGTCCATGAAGTCACTGACAAGTGGACTGAACTATGTTGATAGGTGTAGACTACCTGGTTGGGGACCGTGAGATGATAGCAACCGATGGTTAGAGACCTTGAATGACATGGCTCAAAATAGTTTGCAATAGTGCAGGTGCATCCACTGTTTGTGTTCTCCCAAATTCTAATCTTCCGAATTCTTCATATCCCCTTTTTTCCTCTTTCCAAATTTACTTCATTGGATTATACTCCTTGAGTAATATCTTCAAACCCTAATATTTTCGAATACTGCTTATACTCTTACCACCTCTATCACTACGGGATTTGAATCTACAACTGCATCTCTGTGCTAATGTGGTATGGAAACTCGAACTTATGTACATACGTACGAAGTTTTACTTTGTTGACTGACTGACTGATTGATATAATTCGATATTACCTGACAGTAAAGTTTGGAACCGTATGTTAATTTTATCAGGGTTTCATTAATGTTTATGTTGTTGTTTCCAAAGTGACCTCGACTCTTTGTTATGCATTAAATAACTGAATAGTAAATTGTTCAACCATTGGTCAGTTTTACATATTGACAGATAATGAACAACCTATTTTTAAATAGGTTTAACAAGAATGATCAAGTTGAAACATTCGTGGTAAAAAGAAACATTTTTTATCTGTCAGTATAAGGTTGTAGATCAAGAGCCAATCTAAGTTAAACAACTACTGAAAACATGGAAGCACTGGATGGTTGTTTTTTACTAGTAGGAAGACACCTACTGAAGATAATCATAAATAGTTGCGTAATATTATAAAGTGGTTGAAGTTAAACTTCTAAACGATTGAAAATAGGCTCATTGGTTGAGAGTTTAAACGTCCACATAACAGACAGAAGGTTCTGGGCTCGAGTCCTAGTTGCGGGGATGTGAATTCATACTGTTGTGGAGCCCTATACTAAGATAAAATGGTCATTCAATGCTTCTAAATTTTCAGTGCTTTCCTAACTTTGATAGGTTTATGATCTTTATAAAATTTATTTATCTAATTTTTATTCATATATATAATTACATTATTATTAGGGTCAAGAATGTAGTATCAGAATAATTAGTAATCCAATGTCAAGTAAGAAGCAACATCATCATGTGCAACAAGAACTAACTCAACAATTCCTTAATCCACAACTTTTCCTATCAGATTATTCTCCAGAAAATATGAAATATATCAATCAACAAAGTAATAATAATAATAATACATTAACAAACTCTGTAATAATTAGTGAATCCTGGTTAAACAACTCAAACCCATTGATGATGTTAAATGGAAGTTCTAGTGCGTCATTACATCGTAAACAAATATCACCAGTTTATTTACATGATGAACGTACTACCGCAGTATTATGTAGTGATCTGTTAAATCACAATGATATTACACTATCAACTATGAATAAATCGAAAAACATTACAACTATAAAAAATTCACCTGTGATCTCATCACCAACTAATCGACATCAATCTACTTGTCAAATGTTATCACCTCTACCTATGTGTCTATCACAGGTTTGTAATGATGAATCAAGTTTGACTACATCTTCCCAACATCAACATTATCAGAGTAATGTTAATCAAGATTGGATGATTTCAGGTTACCGTAAACAACCTTTATTAAATACAGATGATATACATCATAAAGATTTTTTAGAACATAATAATAGTAATAATCAATCTACAATAGACAGACAAGATTGTACAACAATAGAAATGTTAAATGTTTCTTCACCTATATGTCCATTGAACTCTCCATGGCAAATAAGAAAAACATTAGAGAAATCTTTGAAACGGAATCAATCCGATTGTTGTTCAACTAATCAACAATGTGAATTACACAGTCCATTAATAGATCATACCAATATCCATGAAAATCAGTTACAACTTAATGAAGTATTAGAATTAAATGAAACTAGTTCATTTAGTCAAAGTCCACCAAATCCTCCAATAAGAACTACAAGTCGTGGAGCTATTACTTATCATACACTTGGTCATATAACAAGACATAATAATAATAATAATACAAATAATCAACATCCACGTCCACTTAGTTTGCCTCAAGTAAGTTTATATTGTAATAAAAATCAATTCATGTTCATATCAAACTAATAATGAAGTATGGAAGTCTACTGAAACTTTTGAATATTTTTTTTTTCAAACCTACATCTATCGTCATGGATTTTGTTGTTTTAAATTTCCTGTATCTAACTTATTAATTCCGTCTATCATGTGTACTTAGGCGCTTTCAGAAGATCTAATGATTGAGAAACTTGAGAAATACTAAACTAAATGGTTTGTATATATATATTTTCTTCTTATATCCTTTAAAGAAGTGAAAGACGAATTTATGGTTCAAATATATTCGATATAGTTTAAAGATGTCAACATTATACCAAGACTGATTTTAGACGTTTACGGATTAATATGAATGAGAGATAATCTTATTTTGAATAATCACAAGTTACTTCTTCGAAGAACAAGACATTGGATACAATGTTACATATTATGTGTTGAAGGTTCATCACTATAATCAGCCAAGTGGTAGTACCAATGGTTATTAATATCCATCTGAAGTGTGGACCAGTAACTTTATATGATATGAGATCCCAAAACCTTCAGGTCTCTTGATTAGTGTATGATATGATTCAACTACTGACTTTCGATATAAAACACTTAAAGTTTTAAATTCAACCAATAAACTAGATAGAATAACCATCATTTACATTCATCAGTCAGTAAACATTTGACAAAAACACTTTTATCGTTTCTGAAGACAGCTTTCTAGATGAAAGACAAGTTGCTGTAGTCAAACAATAACTGACTGATGATGAATTATGTGAATTGTGTCCAGTAGTGATCTATCATATTTAATAATATTATCTAATACAAAAAAACAAATACTGACAGACTTTATGTTTTATTTGCAGTTAGATTCATCGTGACCAAGGTTTTAATCAATCGTACATTGAATCAATTTAGTTTTGATCTTTTCTTTCTTACTTAAAGATCAAACGAAACGTAACTTATATATTTGTACTTACTATATTTTAGAGGCTAATTTCATGACTGATCTTCGCCCTTTTACTTTGTTATCATAATCTTACAGAAGAATCGTTACACGAAACCATAAATTAATAAAACTTAGAAATGTATAGCATTGTGTACCGACATAATAGTGCAAGAGTTAAGCGTTCATCTCATAACATTTGAGTCTTTGGTTCATTACTTAGTGCTTTCGGTCAGCCAGTCAGGAATAATAGGAGTTGAAGAGAGAGGTTGATTATGAATACAGTGGTCTTGAGTTCTGTTAGAGGTATGCGGACGGTTATCACTTGCCGGTTGCCCACACCGTCGAAGGGTTTTTCCGGAGGTAACTGAGTAGGAAATTGGATTAGAGGAGGTCTTAGTGACCTGAGAGTGTGACCGCAGTGCCCAAGGGACAACTGCTTGAGGCAGATCACATACGACCTTTTTATGAATAATTTTTGTGTTAGCTCCGTACTTGTTGAGACCTTACCGCCGGAGACGGATATCCGTGGGATAAGTCGAGATGTGCATTTTTATGGTCGACCTTTTCTAACCCCACCTCTCCCCGTGGGAAGGCAGCATCGCTGTTATGTTGGTTGTCTGAAGGAAACAGCTTACTGCTGTCACACCTCTGTACAGTCAGCAGTACGACTTCACCTTCGGACCTTGCGTTTGTTACTTTTAGTCTTAACGCTCTTCAACCAACCTGTCTGACGTGGTAGGACATTGAGGAACAGTTGTTCCAGCCAGTATAGCTCGGTTGCTTCATCACGATAGGCAAGCTCGACCACCGCGTCAAGGTAGCAACAACGGTTGGGACTTAGCGCTGTTGCTGCTACGAAACGCTTGTACATAACATTATAGATTTCCATAGTACCTTAAATGATGGTCATCTACCGCGAATAACACATTCAAATTACAGTAATCTCTATAAGACTCATTCACGAATACTTTACATAATTTTCCTTCAGTCATTGTGATTCATTTTTACATTTCAGAGTTTCCATGTAACAAATGAATTGTATTCAGCCTTATGTCAAACTGATTCTTCTAAAGAATGTGTAAAACTTTTAACTGAAAATATTTATAAAAAGCACAAAACTAAACAAAATAACATCGATACTATTAATAACAATAATAATAACACATCAGAAATTTGTCAAGATTGTCTTATCTCTTCATCCTATGATATTTTATCAAAATATTTAAATAAACAACAAAGTCCAAGTGAAGAAAGTTTATGGTGGTATCATCCGGTACATCAGAAACGACGACGTAAACGTAAGCATCAATCTAAAACTCATGTTGAAGATGATAAATCTAACCATCATCATCATCAGCAGCAGCATCAGCATCATCATCATTTTCAACACCATCATTATCATCATCAAAATCATTATGATCAATCAATTACAAAACATCATCAACAATTAGATAATTATATCAGTAATATATCAGAACAATCAAGAGATTTGTCAATCCCCATGATCACGAAATATGATACTACTGAATTCAACAATAATGGACTAACAAATTCTGCATTATATTCAGATAAAGGAATTGATTCACAACAAAATTTATGTAAGTTCTGTTAACTTTGTAGGCATAATCATTATTTAGTGTTGTGTATAATATAAGTTAATAATAGATTTTAATATCCATATGAAAATTAATTTTGGTAAGCCAGTAAAAATTATGAGGAAATGAACACCTACTTTGTGTATATTTAGTAAATTTTAAACAAGCGAACTGACTACTAAAAATTAAGGATCAACATCTGTTGATCAGTAAGTAATAATCGATGTCATGTTCATTTTCTACTTGTTGCTGGCTAAATATAATTGATCAAGTTCAATATCAAGTCAATTCCACCAAGAATAACAGATTAGCAACTATGTAGCTGGTTGGAGAGAGTCCAAGTTTTTCAGATAAGCTCACCTCCTTCAAGATTGTAGGTATACTCTGATAGTGAGTGTCAGAAAACTTGAAATTTAGGTCTAGGATTTCCTATTATCTACCTCTTCAAACTATACATAGGATAGTAGATTTTGAACCAAGAAGCTTTTCTTCTTCAGATCATATCATTACCTCTAGAATACTGAATTTTTTTATCATCTTCTCACTAGTGACTGAATTCAGAAGATACTCCTTCAGTTCTAGTGAGAAGTTGTTAACAGTGGAGTTCAACCAGGTCTATTGTGAGATGGGCAATCACTGAAAACAATGGTGTACGGTGGTGCAACTTCGTGGATTGGTTGAAGTTAGACATTAACACTGTTGGATGCCGGCTCAGTGGTCTGGTTGGTTAAGCACCGGGCGCGAGACTGACAGGTCCTGGGTTCGAATCTCACGGCGTGCGGGATCGTGTATGCACACTGCTGAGGAGTCCCATACTAAGACGAAACGGCCGTCCAGTGCTTCTAGGTTATCTATGGTGGTCTAGCTTCAATTGACTCATGATTTTAACCACTGAAACTTGACTCTTAATCAATAATTAATAATCACGAACTAATGAACTCCTACTTCATATCAGATCAATTTAGTTTATCCTGTATAGAATCATTTGATCATTAAATAGACCAGGATAATAGAAATGAATTCAACTTTAATCGTCTTTTTTGTTTGTTTGATATTTTGCCTAATAATTAAACAAGTAAACTTTTTAACATATAAATGAACCTCATTATTAAAGCTTTAATGAATTCAATAGTAACTTAAATCACTTTGAAATGAGTTCATATAAGTTGATTTCTATTATTGAATAATATGTAATTTATTCTTATAAACCTTTAGGATAAAATTTAATACATTTTATACGGAAATAATAAATCTTAATAAAGTATTTGTATTATTGCTAATTACATTCAACATCATTCAATGATTAATCAATGTAAATATCTTACCTATAAATAAGCTTAACTGTTACTTGAATAGCTTTAAAGTATCATACTAATAGTGTAAAACGAAGTGATCCAATTTTCAATTCATTAGCATATATCAGCTTCATCAACATTATAACTACATTTTATTGATTAGTAGATATTTTCCTGTAAACTAACTACTTTCAATCATCTAACATATCATATCACTTATATTGTTAGTATTAATTCCTTCAAATTATTCATTGTATCCTTCTGTGCAGTGAATATATATAAGAAAAATTTTTTTTATTTAAATAAATGTTCTATCGAAATAGCTGAGTGCAAAATGAGTCGTCATACATTCTTTCTATCTTCATTAAAAGAGTAAAATATAGCAATATATTATGTAACAATGTTTACTAATACGGTGGTGCGTGCTACTTATATTAATATAAGTAGTATATGACGCGAGTCAGAAATGTAATGTCTAGCAGCAAAGATGAGGAAGATCAAGAAAGGAAGAGCGGGAATAGAGAGCAATTAGTATGGAAATGCAAGAACAACAAAGTTCGAGGCAATTATTGAACGTTTTGCAAATTAAGTATTATAGTATGGTTTTTCTATTTTACCAAGTCCCCATCCTTGCTCTGTTCACTACAATACCAGCAAACATTTAACTTATAGCGTATATTTCGCATATTTAGTTCCTTTGTCAACTAGAATCCTTGTATATCGTCTGGTAGAACGAGATGTAATTACATTAAGGTCCATGCAAGCAAGCAAAAGTATAAAAGTTCTATAATACCTTACTTAGCAAATATACTCTGTGATGAACAGGTTGTTAGAGTTAACCTAGTCAATAACCTGCATTCTTGAACATCTCTCTAATTTGAAAAGTTGTACAGTTTTTCAGGGTTTTTTTAAAACCTTTTTCTTCCTTTTTTGTATTTGTCACTGTTTTTTTTTGTTGCGTAAGTAACTTGTTGAAATACTTTGTGCTAAGAATCTCTATATTGTACGAAAATATAATATTGAATAAAGCGTCGAGTTGGGATTAACTATGAACACCGCTACCAAGAAGCACGTGCCAAGTTAATCAGAAGGCGAAGGTAGAACGTAACCAAATAAATCCATAAAATCCCCGAGAAGCCAAATATCAGAAAACAATTAATGGGCCAAATTGAGATATATTTGCTGGCGATCTCGTGGCATCGAAAGGATACCGAGATCGTGCCAGGATACAAGCTTGGTTACAGAAAGTAACCGAATTCGCGCGAAGTCACAATCAAAAGTGTAAGTATATGAATGGAAGCACAAAATAGCTGTCATTAGCACAGTCAAACAAAAGCACGTTAAAACAAACACTGATACAGTTGGTTATAATAATAATTGTTTTTATTAAACCAGTCGTGTTCTCATGATAAATGTGAGTCACTTCAGGAGCCCCCCGCTAGAAAGGGTTTACACTTTCGATAAATAGCGGTTTAAATCGTGGGACTGATCGGCTGACGAGCGATTGTAGGACGGAAGAATAAGGTTTTCACAATAAAATGAATTTATTGATTCATTTCAATAATTTTAATCAGATATGAATAGATTAGATTTTCAACATGATATTCCACGTCAATCTTGACTATTACCATACTTTGTATCATATTTTATACTTTGTTATTTCTCATACATTTTCTACCTTATTCTAAAGATCCACTTCAACTTTATTCATTGAAGTATATCATTTCTAGTCATACAAACTGGAATAATGGAGGACATTATTATTAATTTGTATATTAGAAATAAGTGATTACATAATCTGGTGATATAATTATAATCGATATTCACTAAATGAATTATTATCAGCAAATAACTAATAATATGAGACATTAATTGTTATATCCGAGCGAAGATTAAATCATGAGTAACTTCTGAGACATATTAATTGACCAATATTATCTATATATTCTTATGGGATAATTATTCAATAATTAGATTATGTATATTTATATACCTCTTATTATAAGCTTTATTTTGACCCATAATTCATTATTGTACGATTTACTGTTCTCAAGTTATGTTCAGTTTATTGACTACTGCCTCCCACGTTCACAGCCACTTTTTGACTTTATTGTGTACAAATGTTATTTTCTATTTTATGGTGCGTTGCGGTCTGTTTGATTGATATATAAACCCAGTATGTCTGAAATAAAATATTCGATTCGATTCGCATATTGGAAGCTGGTATTTGCTGTTCTGAACTCAAGTGGACGGGCCAGGCGGACATAGGACCAAATAAGACGCTAGGCTGCTCATCCAGGTCAAACGTCATTGGTTTGGCACAGTGCGAAGATTGTATAAGTCGTATTTTCATTGGTGGGCAAATCAAGTGATAAAAAGCCGGACATAAAGTCATAACACTAATCATTCTTCCTTCCTACAAATACAAGAGAGATGGTGTTGGAGTCAGCGCAAAATCCAAGATCATCAGTATAATGTTTAGTTAATATGACATTCTTCTGGCTTAAACTAGCTTGATATTTAATCATTGTAACATACAATAATTGTTATTACTGATCTAACGTACAAAAAGAACAGTTTTCCCTATTATATGTGCCAATTTATCCTATTTATAACAGATGGTGATGGGGTTAAATTACAAATTCCAGTTTACGTGATATCTAGTTTCAGTCTGTTGGGACGTTAGATCCCTAGAACTCACTTGGGAAAGGACCTAATTTTGTAATTTATTTAGAAAATTTGAATTTCTTTGTTTTCGCACCAAAGGCGCTCTTTTCATCTTTATGTCGTATTTCCAACTGTGAAATATTTTAAATGCTATTGGTCCGTTGTGTCTTTTAGTATGCTATTTGGTGACTCTCCCTAAGGACGGTTTTGCACTATGTATATACGTTTTGAATTGTGTTTGTTGTTATCGCTCGTTTCTGGCTGATTTGCAGAATATACTTTCCATTCCAAGATTGGAATTCTCCTTTTAGTTAGCAGGGCTGGGACGCATCAATAGCTAGCTTACTGGTCCTTGATCACCGAATCTTGTTCTCGTCCGCCGATTAAGTGAACTCGCGATAGCTTCAAGCCTAACAAGCCTATCCAGTCTCTGAATCCTTGATTCTTCGTTCTGTTCCGAGTAAGACGAATCAGTAGTAGCATTCAAGTTAATGAACATAACACAATCATGATAAGTTTCGTTTTCAAGCTTAATTTTCTTTAGCTATAGCAGGTTGAAAACAGTTATTATAGTAACATTCAGTGTAAAGAACTTTTTTACACAAAATTACGAGTCGTGTCTTTAGTCTACAAAATAGATAACATTTATGATCATTAAAAGTTGGAATTAGAAGTAGACAGATATGTTTCATAACTATAAAGCACTACAGAGTGAACTGCTGCCCAGTATATACGCTTGTTAGTTGACGGACGGACATTTCACTCAGTTCACAAGTATTTGTTAACAAATACTAATAGAGTTTTTCGAGTCCATTTAGAAATTTTGTCAGACATCAACCCAATAAGACTGATGTGACTTTTAAAACAAGTCTCAGTTAATCTAAAGCCAATGGCAGCACTGACAAATAAATCTGTAATATCTTTAAATATAATGATCTGGTTTTAATGGCTAAGCTGATTGAAACATTAGCTAACTTTTTTCAAGCTAGATGTAATCCCATCTGATTAATCTCGATTTCTAGTCGTCCCAATCTATAAGAA